CCCCCCCCGGGCGCGGCGCCAGCCATATCTCAGGCAGGACGCCGGCCACAAGCCCGGCAGCAATCGAACCAGCAGCCCGATCCGTTGGCATCTGACACGTGTGGCCGCCCCCAACCCAGTCTCCCTTCCTTCGCCTTGCCTTGGGCTCCCCGAGGGAGGAACCAGGCCTTGCCAGATCCTCTCATTCCCCGGCGGGGTGTGTCACATTTTTGGGATGCTCCCACAGGGGCCGGCGCTGTGTAAGCTGCGACCAGCTGCCCCACCCTCCTGTGCTGCTCGCCTGCCCGATAACCTGCCTCCCTTTCCCTTTTGTTGCTGCCCCCTTCCCCTCCGCCCCTCCCCCCCCCCTCCCCTCCCTTCCCTCCCCCTCTCTCTCTCTCTCTCCCCCCCGCCCCCAACTCGCTGCTTCTCCACTTTGATTTCCCCTCCCGGTCCCCTGCCTCCCGCTGGTCTGGCGTACCATGCTTCAGCCCGTCCTTCGCCGCTCGCTGATCGCAGGCTTCGGCGCGCCGGCGCACCTGCGCTCGGCCGGCAGCTCCACGCTCCTGCGTGCTAGCATCATCCAAGGAACCCATGCCTACCGGGCCCCGAGCCTGGCTGCTGCCTATGCTACGGTACCTCCTGGCCGGAGGAAGCCGCTGTCCGCCGCCCAGTACACCACCCTGGCCCTGGACCCGGCGCCGGCAGGCAGCAATGTGCCCTTTCTGAATCAGCTGCACTCAATGCGCCAGCGCCGTCAGGATCTCTTCCAGCGCGCCCTCCGCCGGCAGCATGCCAACCTGCAGAGCATGCACCTCGGGTCGGAGGAGGTGTTCGTGACTCTCCGCCTGCTCGGGGCCAAGGAGCCCCTGCTGACGGTCCGGGCCAGTGCCCTCAGCTCTCCGGCCGGGCTTCTGCATGACTTGGTGGCCTTTCCCGATCGGCTGGAGTCGCAGGTTCTCCTGTCGCCGCAGGTTTCGCCGGGAGGGCACCTGCGTCCGCTGTCGCGTCTGTGGGATCGCGTTCAGGCCCGGGCCGCGGTGGCCATCCTCACTCCGGCCGGCGCCAATCCCGAACCCCCGGGTGGCCTGGTGGCCGCCGGGGCGGCGCATCGCCACACGGCGCACCTGGCCGAACGGTCCTTCATCATGGACGTCGGCCAGCCCTTCAGCGAGCCACTTCCCAATGGGGGCTTCACCTCGCCCAGGGGCGGCCGCGAGTTCACCCTGGAGTTCGCCTTCATGACCTCCTCCTTCCAGTCCTTGGACAATGGCTTCCCGGATGAGTCTGACGGGCTGGATGCCGTGCGCCCGGCCTGGACTCCCGGACCCGAGGACAGGTGCGCACCCGGGCGCTGCTCTCTTGCTCCCTTCCCCCCTTGCCCCGCACCCTAGCCGGCTTTCCTCCAGGCCGGCACGGCCCCTCGGCCGATGTCATGCCGCCTCTGCCGCCCCCGCGCCCGCCCCCTGCCCGGCCGCCGACGCGCATGCGCATGCGCAAGCCTGCTGACACACACACACACACACACACACACACACACACACACACACACACGCCCATCTACCCGCAGCAACCAGTTTGCCCGGTCGGCCCTGCGCGATGCCTATTGGCACTCATCGGCCCATGTGCTGGGTGCGGCGCTTGAGGCGCACTTCGGGCCGCGTCTGTTCCTGGCCGATGGGCCGCCCGTGTCGCGTGGCGGCTTCTTCTATGAGTTCGGTGTGCTTCCCTCGCCGGAGAGCGCGGTCCCCTGCCCCACCATGCTCTCGGCCAATTCGATCTACTCGCCGGATGGCAAGGTGTACCGGCAGCCGGCGCCGGCCGATGCTCACCAGCAGCTGTCGTCCGGGAGCGACGGGGCTGCGCCCCGGCGCCTGTCCGGCTCGTCGATCATCTCCCCCACCACCGTGACCGCCACGCTGGTGAATCCTTCGCAGGATTGCCACCCCCATGGCCACGAGCATGGCCACGAGCATGACGCCTCGTGCGGGTCCCTGGTCCCTGGCCACCAGATGGCCCCATGCGCCGCGCGGGTGGATCCCTCGCAGCTGTCCATCGGCACGGGGAATGTCCTGATGGAGGCCGATCGCACGGCGGTCGAAAAGCTGGCCTCGGAGATCTCCCGCGGGCGCTATGCCTTTGAGCGCGCCCTTGTCACGCGCGAGGTGCGGCCACTTCCGGGGCACGGGGCGCGGGGGCCGGGGTCGCATGTGTTCGCCGCTGCCCCGCCCTCCGGGCCAGGATCACATTCATGTGTGGGGTGCTGGGGCTTTTTTTTTTTCTTGGTGCCTGCCCGCCAGTGGCCACTGACCCGACAATGTGACATGCACCCTGGCCGGCGTCCTGCAGGAGGCCTTGGATGCATTCTCGGAGAACCCCTTCAAGGCGCACTTCCTGGAGAAGCTCCCGAGTGATGCCATTATCACCCTCTACCGGATTGGCAACTTCATCGATCTCTGCCGGGGCCCGCATATCCAGCACACGGGCCATGTGCGTTTGGGGTTTCTCCCCGCGACGCGCGCGCTTGTCGGCCTGCCTCCCACTCCTCCCGACTGCCATGACTGACCCTCTCGACCCTCTTGGCCATCTCCCCCTCCCCCCGGCCGGTAGATTCAATCCCTGTCTTTGAGCCAGACGACGCGGGCATACTGGCTGTCGGACTCGTCGCAGCCGCAGCTGGCTCGGTCGTACGCCATCGCCTTCCCTCCGGGGAAGCTGGTCGGTGCGCGTCTGCCCGCCCCGGCCAAGGGCCAGAGTTCGGCGGTCTCCGGTGCGGCCGCCCGGTGGGAGGCCTCGCTGCGGGTCCAGCAGCAGCGCGACCACCGGCAAGTGGGCAAGCGCCAGCGTCTGTTCATGATGCACGACTTCGCCCCCGGCAGTGTCTTCATGCTGCCGCATGGGACTCGCATTTACAATCGCGTACGTCCGCCCGCCCTATGGGCCCCGGCATCAGGGGAGACACCGGCCTGACATGGGGGGCAGGGGAGGGCGGGGGGGGGGCACCTGCTTGGCCTTCTCATCCTCGGTGCTTGCCTTGCCGGTTCTCTTGTCCGCGGACTGACCGCCCTTGGATTTGCAGCTGGTCGAGTTCCTCCGGTCCCAGTACCGCGTCTTCGGGTATGAGGAGGTGGTCACGCCGCAGCTCTACACCCCGGAGCTCTGGAAGACCAGCGGCCACTGGGATAACTACCGTGAGGACATGTTCGCCGTGGCCGGCGTCAATGAGGTGGAGCCCCTGGCCGCAGGCGGGCATGACCCCGGTGCGCATGACCATGCTGGCGGGTGCTCGCACACCCATGCCGGCGGCATCAAGGAGCTCATGGGCCTCAAGCCGATGAATTGCCCGGGCCACTGCCTGATCTTCGCCAGCGACACCCGGTCTCACCGCGATCTGCCCATCCGCATGGCCGACTTCAGCCCCCTGCACCGGTACGTTGTGAATCCTTGATCGAGGGGCGGGGGCGGGGGCGGGGGGGTCCCACTGTCTGGGACTGGCTTGCGGACTTGCTCCGGCCATGGGGTAACTCATGCTTCGTGTCGGCCCTCCTCCTCCACCTGGCTCCATCTCACGTTGGCTGCTTCCTTCGACCTTCGCGGCTCCTCTCCCTCCTCAGGAATGAGTTGTCTGGTGCCCTCAACGGCCTGATGCGTGTGCGCAAGTTCTCCCAGGACGACGCGCATATTTTCTGCACGCTGGACCAGGTACACGCATGGGCCCTGCCCGCCAATCTTTGCCTGCCATTGGACAATCGCCCCTCACACACACACACACACACACACACACACACACACACACACACACACACACACACACACACACACACACCACCCTCGGATCCGTCCCTTCTTTCCCTCCCCCGCCCCTCTTGCCGCAGGTTGAGTCGGAAATTTCCAACTGCCTCGATTTCATCGATCGCGTGTACAAGCTCTTCGGGTTCAAGTACATCGTGGCACTGTCCACGCGTCCGGATAACTACATCGGCTCCCTGTCTGACTGGGACAATGCCGAGAGCGCTCTGCAGCGCGGTGCGCCATTTGCCCCTCCTTTCGTCCTTTTCTCCTTTTCCCACCTCGCCCTCCCTCTCCATCTATGCACACACAGACACACACACACATACATACATACATACATACAATTACGCGCAGCCCCTTCTGACATCATGGCCTCGCTTGCCCGCCTCCGATGGCTCTACACACGCCCTCCTGCTTTCCACCTCCCTCGGCTCCCTCCCTCGCAGCCCTCCAGAATGCCGACATCCCCTTCACACTCAACCCCGGCGATGGGGCCTTCTACGGCCCAAAGATTGACATCCAGGTGGCCGACACCCATGGCCGCTTCTTCCAGACGGCCACCATCCAGCTGGACTTCCAGCTGCCTCGCCGCTTCAATTTGAAGTACACGGCCGCCAGCGGGGCCGACGCCGGGGCCGACGCCGGGACCCGCTCGCACCTGAAGACCCCGGTGATGGTGCACCGGGCCATTCTCGGCAGTGTGGAGCGCATGTTCGGCATCCTCTGCGAGCATTGGGGCGGCCGCTGGCCGCTTTGGCTGTCGCCGCGCCATGCGCTCGTGTGTGCCGTGCACCCAGACCACGCGGCCTATGCCGGCGAGGTGGCTGACCTCCTGTCCGACATGGGCTTCTTCGTGGATAGCTCCTCGGTGGAGAAGAAGTCGGCGGCGGCCGCCGGCCAGGCCTCTGGCGAGGGCCAGGCCGCCGCCGCCGCCGCCGCCCCGCCGGAGCCCTCGGCCGCGCAGGTCCCCCGTCGGAGCATCGGTGTTCCTCGGTCATCCAGCCTGCGGCAGTCCATTTCCGATGCCTACCGGCTGGGGTACTCGTATGCCCTGATCGTGGGCAATTCCGAGCGGGCCAACCGGGCGGTGACCATCCGCGGGACCGTCCCGCCAGATGGTGGTGCCCCGCCCCAGACCACCCTGCCGCTGGTGGACTTCGCCCGGTGGCTGCGGTACTCCACCAATGCCGAGCTGGCGGTCATGCACCACTTCGGCCGGCCATCGGTCACTGGCCAGGTGAACCTCTCTTCGGCCGACCTGACCGATGCCACGGATCGGTCCGGCTGGATGGTCGACCCGGCGGGCATCCTCCCCCGGAAGTCGGACATCTTCCGCTGGGCGGCCGCCGGGTGCCCTGTTCTCCCGGGCGAGGGTCCCGGCGCATCGGACATCAATCTCTAGAAGCCGCGTGGCATTTTCCTCTGGCCCCTTGACGCGGCACAAGTCCCCTGCTCCCGGTTCCGAGTCCCTTCCTTCGTATGCGTGTGTATGTGCATGCACTCATGCCGACCAGACACATGCACACATGCACACATGCACACATGCACACATGCGCACATGCGCACACGCACACATGCACACATGCGCACATGCGCACACGCACACACGGACCTCCTCCCTCCACATACACGCATGCGGTCATTGCCCTCCTTTCTCTGCTTGGCCCATCTCCAATGCCACGCCCCTCGCATCGCCCTCTGACTGTGGGAATAGATTACTTTCTTATGTTCCTCCCTCTCTCCGCCTGGGCATCGCCGCCACCGGGGGAGGGGTTTTTTTTTCCACGCATTCCTCTTCCTGTTGCGGACGGACACCACTCCATGGTCGGATGCGGTGCCGGTGGATTTATTGTTTTGAAGTGGGGGGGGGGGGGGGGGGGGGAGGTGCAGACATTGGAACGGGCTCTCTCGTCCTCGCTCTCGCTCTCTCTCTCTCTTTTTCCTGGAGAAGGAGGACAGGGCACTACGACAGAAGCAGCTCGCCAAGCACCATGGAGAAGCCCACAAGTGCCATGCCGAGGAAGATCGACAGGAAAAGGGGCGACAGGACGACACTCTTGTCCTGGGGACCGCCACCATCGGGCACATCGGGAGCCGACCCGGACTCCGGAGCCGGCTCAGCAGGCGGAGACTCAGCCATTGGAGGAGGGGCAATGGCATTGTGGCAGGCACACGCCCCGGAGCAAGCCGGGCCCGGCTGGAAGGATGCGCCCATTGCGGCACACACCGGCGCCGATCGCCGGCATTGGCCGCATGTGATGTACTTGCAGCAGTCCTTCGAGCCGAAGGGGTGGCGGGAAGCCCCCGCTGAAGCGGACGAGCCGGTCAGCTTGGCCGCCGCCTCTGGCGTGCTACTGCCGGTCGTCGGGGGGAACCACAGCGATCGGAAGGCCGATGGGAGCAACTCCCCCAGGGCAATGGCACACATGGCCCCGGCCACAGTGGCCAGCGCCCCGCCAATCAGCCAAGGCGGCGGCCCAACGCCAGTGGCCACCATCACCAGATAGCTACCGGCGCGGATGATGCACATTCAATGGGCAAGGGGCCAGCGTGAGCAAAGGGCAAAGGCCGGCCGAATGCCGCGCGAATCGAAGGGGAGCAGCAGGGAGGAAGGCCAAGTCAGACCGCCAAATCACAAGCTAACTGTGTGCCGGCAGCGGGGCGAGGAGGACAAACGGTCGAGGAGGAGGAGGAGGGGGGGGGGACAAGGCGCGCACCTGATCAGCCCGCCGAGGGGCCCGGAGGTAGAGGCCAACATGCCGACAGCCAAGCCCCGCAGGCGGCTGCCGGTGCTGTGGTAGAGCGGCTGCGAGACACAAAGGCCTGGGAGTTGAAGGAAGCCAGGAAGCCGGTCAGTGACACGCACGAGGATGGCAAGCAGTGAGGGGATGAAGATCGCGGCGG